TTTTTTAAAATTATTGTTGAAATAAAAAAATTAAATTATGCATAATTCTTTTATGCATAAAAAATATTGATTTATTAATTACATTTGGTTCAAAGAGGGGTGGTAAAAAATTAATATAAATATCGGATCGGTATCGGATCGGTTTTGAACTAATATCGGATCGGATCGGTAAAAAATATGTGGATCGGCACAGCCCTAATTGATACATAAAAGAATGACTAATATATTCAAACAGGTACAGACCAATCTATATATAATATATAATCGGATAAACATAAAGTTAATTTATAGGTAGGAATAACCAGAATTACTTTATGATATTATATAATTCTAACTAACATAATGCTATCGTTCATACACATAAAAAATGTTTTATCTTTACTATAGGGGTAGGAATAGCAATTATTTTATATTATATTATTCTGACAAGCATACTGCTAGTATTCCAACATAGACTATTATATCTAAACTTTAGAGAAGTACAATATATTAACTTTAATGTGTTTATTTTTTGCAACAATAAATAATGTTCCAATTGTATGCTCGAGACGTTAAAAGTTAGAAACATTTATAGTTGAAAATTTACAAATGTATACTAAAATTCTAAGCAAGATATAGAAGTCCAATTTAATTAATATGTTTGTTAAACTAAAGTTCTGTGAAGCTAGAAAATTTTGAAGTAATAGAAATTATGTTTAATAAGTACTTAATATGTATAGAGTAATAAATTTGCTAGATTAAAATAAACTTAACTTATGTGTGTGAAACTAATCACATTTGACAATACTAAAACTATCTAAGATAGTATAGAGTAATAAATTTGCCAGATTAAAATAAACTTAACTTATGTGAAATTAAATATGTTTGACAAAACTAAAATTATCCAAAGTGAAAAGCTATCTGAAACATACAATCTGGTATAAGCTATCTAAATATACAAAACTGGTATGTTTAAGGTTAAGGTATTTTTAAAGTTACACAGTTACAAATGTATACTAAAATGTGATCTAGAAGATTTTCGATGTGTAAGTTTGGATCCGACTTAATTGGGTAAGCAACAAGATAAGGCAAAAATTATTATAACAGTAAAATTAGCGAAATAAAATTTTTGCAGAAAATTATTAAAGTTTTTTTTAATGATTTTTTAGTTAGTTTATAATAAAACACAATGAAAAATAATTAGAAACATGAGAGATATACATGTTTATAAATCTTAACAATACTAATTTATTTTCCAAAAAAACAATTAAATCCTATTTCGTATTATTTAAAATTGTTTACAAATTTACATATTTATTTTAAAGGAAAAGCTAAACCCATATGGGAAACTAGAAGGAGAAAAAAATAAAAAAAAAATAAAGGGGAAAAATAAATAAATAACTATAAATAATAAAGGGAGGGAAAAATCCAAAATGGTGAAAAAGTTATGCAAGAAGAGGTAAAACAAAAATTATTAAAAGATGGAGGGCGTAAAATGTAAAAAGTTTATTTTGAAAGGGAAAAACAAAAACCATGTGAGAAACTAGAAATAAATAAAATAAAAGTAAAAATAAGTCATAAAAAGGGAGGGAAAAATTTCAAAATGGAGGTGGAAGAATAATAAGTTATCCAAGGGGAAAGAAACAAATTATTAAAAGATGGACGATAAATTATAGAAAAGTATTAAAGGATAAGGGGGATAAAAAATATTTAATAGTCAATAAGAAAATAACCTAAGTAAAAGGAGATTTATAAAGATTCAAGATTTTATGAAGGTTGACCAGGGAAGTAAATTTATGTTTAAGGGTTTATTGCCTAAGGAAAGACTAGAAATTAGTCAGGTGCATGGTAAACTGATCCTAAATTTGTGTTTTATATTGTTTCTATGATTATATGTTAAGATTGAAGGTTTCAAAGTGTTAAGTATAAGGGGATGTAGACAAAACTTGTCTCAAAACAATTATAAATAATATAATTCCTAGTATAAAAGTTTAAATCTACTAACATGTTTTATATTATTGCTATGATTATATGTTAAGGTTAAAGTTTCAAATCGTTTAAGTATAAGGGGATGTAGAGTTTAAAACTACTAACATGTTTTATGTTATTGCTATGATTATTGTTAAGGTTAAAGTTTTAAATTGTTTAAGTATAAGGGGATGTAGACAAAACTTGTCTCAATGCTATATAAATAATGTATTTTCTAGTATAAAGTTTAATCTACTGACAGAAAATAAACAAAGTATATACAAGAAATAAGTAAATAAGCATAAATATGAAAATAGATAAAGTATATATAAGAAATAAGTAAATAAACATAAATATGAAAAATGAATAAAGTATATTGAAGAAATAAGTAATTATAAGAAATAAGTAAATACTAACCTGAGACATCAAGAAAAAAATGATATTTTAATTTTTTTAAGGTTTTTCATCACTGAAAAATTGGTTTAACATGTTTAGAGTATATATTTTTATCTATCTGCTTCAATTAAATTGAAAAATGACGATTATGACAATTGTCACTTTCCTATGGTACATCTTCAATGAAATTTTAATTTAACATGTTTACAAAATATATTTTTAAATTTGCCTGAAAAAAGTTCAAAAATGACGATTATGACAATTTTCACTTTCCTATGATACATCTTCAATGAAATTTTAATTTAACATGTTTGCAAAATATATTTTTACATATTTGCCTTAAAAAATAAACTTCAAGTCTGAGTCAAAAATAACGACCAAACTTCAAGTCTGAGTCGTAAAAAACGACCCAAACTTCAAGGCTGAGTAGAAAAAACCACTCATATTTTGGGTCGAGATCGAGAGCGTTTTTTCGGCTTGGACTCGGGTCTAGGTCGAAAAAACGACCCAAACTTTGGGTCGGGGTTGATACTCGCGGCGTTTTAACAACACTAATAATAAGTAATAAACAAATATATTATGAAATTTGAAATAAATATTTAAAATAATATTTAACATTAATATATCCAATTCTTTTTAGAATCCCAATCAGAAATCAGCCTGTGGCGATGGTAACTGTCAATATCACCAGCTTCACTAAAAACAGATATTACCGATATTTAAAATGGGTGAAATATCGGGCCGATTCGATAAAAAATATCGATTCATCCTTATCAATAATATACCATTTAAAAAGAATATACTAGAAGTGGGATTTCACAATCCACATAAAAATAAGGTTATATTTATATATGATTATTAATAGAGATATACTGATATTTTTTATTGGATTGTAAATGATTTATCAATAAATATAATATATTCTTTTGGATTCATGAATATAAATTATAACTAAATTAGATGTTATAATATTAAAAAGTATATGAAATGAGTAGATGTATGTAGTAATTCAAAAGTGTTCCACTTGAGCAAGTTTCTAAAACCAATATCTTAGCCAGAAAAATATTGCCTAACCCTCGATATTTCTAACCTTTGTGCCATTTATGAGCAAAATCTGCATGCTTCTGTAAAATTTTTATGGATAAAATCCTGAGTTCACCGTTTTAGAAATCGACTCAAATGGAGCGATTTCGCAACAAATGATTAGAATGTTTACATAATAGAAATCAGATATATTGAATGAGTAATTGGTCAATATCAATTTAATATCAGATTGGCCACCGAAAACTTGTATTTATACACCCCTAATTATTAAATTCTTTTGTCAAGAAAATGAAAAAGATACTGACTACAAGATACAAAATGATATTTTGTGTTGGATACAAGCATTTGTGGTACTACCTAACTGCTAATTAATCACATCTCTCAGATTGATAAGGCAATAGAAATCAAAAAAATGATTAAACTTTATTAAAAATAAATAATTTACTATAACTACACTATTATTCTATTCGTTTTTGAATAAGCCTAAAGGGAACCCAAACATAAACAAATTGTTGCAGATATTTTCATTGAAATAAGGAAAGGAGCCAGAAGGAAAGTGGCCAAAATTAATAGAGTACATCAATGTGCATTATGTAAAAAATAATACTTAAAAGGCATGCAATAAATATTTTATTTGTGTGAAGCTTGTTTTATATTAGACCTTATATAGTACTTTTGAAGAAAAAGAACGTCATTCATTACCTCACAATAACTATTACAATATTTAAACTTAAAAATTATTAATTCAATCCTGCAAGACATAGATAAAAGATATACAATTGAAATATTTTTTACAATTTATTTTGATTATACCTATTTTCAATAGATTTGAACGCATCTATACTATCAGCATTAATTCACTCTCTATTAAGACTTATATTTTCTTACTATTTATACTTAGCTAAAATTTTTTTATAAATCATGAAATATTTCGGTAATTTGTCATAATGATAAATATAATCATGATTGCTCTGCATTCATAGTTAACACAAATCGTGGCGAAGTATACAAAATATGTATTTTTACATACTTTGCTGCGAATCTGCGCTAACTGAACACAGGATTATACAAATAAAATGACTAAAACGTGTTCCATAAACAAAATGGCGATTCGAAAAATAAAAATTCTAAACGTGCATAAATATGTCATTATTAATCATTGATGATTTAATTTATATTTATGTATAATGTTTTCTCTATCGTCCATTTCGAATTATCCCCTAAAATATTTTACTGAATTATTAAATGCAATATGCGCAATTAAGGGTTAAATTAGATTACCTGATAAAATTATAGGTCAACGAAGGTAGAAACCTTGAACTTATTTTCAGTTTGAAAAAATATCTTGACAAAGAAAAGCAAAATGATTTCTTTAAAAAACAACACCACATTTTTTGATAAAGATTTAAAAAATTTGATGAGGATCTGAATGAAATTCTTTTAAAAATTATCTTAAGCTTTTTTCAAAATAAGGATTATTCTTTAATTTTTAATAAATTCTCCAATTAAAATTTTTATTAAATTTAATACAACACTCTCATCCTGTGCGCCAGTTCAACGTGTGTTTAACACGGCGAAAGATGCGTTGAGCACTTGTTTTTCTAATAAAATTTTGAAAATCAAATATTAAAATATAATAATTGGAACGATACAGAGAAGATTAGCATGACCCCTGCGCGAGGATGACACGCAAAATCGTAAAGCCTTTCTAATATTTTTTGAAAATTTTTCTATAAAAATTATTATAAAAAGATCTCATCTTATAATATTATATTTTTGTATAATTTATTTATATTATTATATATAATATTTAATTTTCCAAGTAACGTGTTACTTTCTGAATATTCAGTAACACGTGTTCCTACTTTCACAAAGTAACGGTAATGTGTGTATTTTTTGACATAACGCGATTCCTTTTTGAAGTTAGGTTTACAGCATTGCTTATATATAATTCATATAGGTTTATATTTTAAATAATCGTTACTTATTAAATATAAGAAAAATTGCCCTTTACAGTTTACGTACTTGAGTAGTGTTTTTAAACGGCTCGTTTTGAGCCGATTTTTAAAAACGGCTAACTATATTTCATTCAGAAAAATATTATGCAAGCCTTAAGATTTTGCTCATAGAAGGAACAAAGGTCCGTAAAGTTGTAGGAATGATGTAAGGATCAATTACCAATATTCTTCAAACGGAATGTCAAAAAAATTAAAGGCTATTGAGTTATAAGCAAAATAATGAAAGTGTGAAGATTTGCAGCTGTAGGAACGATTTGAGGATCAATTACCAAAACTTATACCATTGTATAGCCCGTTAATTGATCCTAATTGATCTTCTATCCGGAAAGCAGCGGAATGAACCGTTAGAGTTATGAGCAAAATAATAAATGCTGGCACTTAGCCAAAACCGAAAATATAAAAGATCACGATCTGAAATTTGGCAGTTATTTAGGCTTTAATTTGTGCGTTAATAATTTCCAAACCGGATATCGATATCACTAACCGCAACCGAGTTATGACCTGTTTTTAAAGCATGAAGTTGTAGGATTTTTTTTAAAAAGTGAGGATGAATTACCAAAAACTATACCAAATTGTGGTGCGTTAATTGATCCTTCAGAATCTTTAAACCGCATATCAACGGAATGAACCGTTCGTGAGTTATAAGCAAAACAAATAAGTATTGGCACTTTGCCAAAACCGAAAATAAAAAAGATCATGTTTTGAAACTTGGCAATTATGTAGTATTCAATACGTACATTAACAATCACCAAACCTAATATCGATATCACTAACCAATACCAAGTTATAACCGTTTTAAAAACGTTAAGTTAGAAGAATTAATTTAGAAAGTGAGGATCAATTACCGATAATTGTGCCAAAGTGTAGTACGTAATCTTTTCCCTGATCTCGGGCCTGCCCGTACCTACAACAACAACCTGGAGATTGGATGAAGTTTGAATCAATTCCACAGACTATGAAATACCCAAGTGTACTTAAACTGAAAGGACCCAACAGCAATTACTAATTAATACGCTACATCCCCGCGCTTATAATAAATATATATATAGCGAATATAATAAATTACCTATGTTTTTTCCTTTTTTGAATAATATATTATTATTCGCTCATATTATTTTTCAACATTCCTTCACTATTATATTACTTGTAGAGGGTGGGTCTATTTATCGCTCGGCTAACCACATAATAAATCATTTATTACTAAATATCGCTCGGCTAGTAAATGTCGCTCGACAAACCACATGATAAATTATTTAACTAAATTTCGCTCGACTGGGAAATATCGCTCGGCTAACCACATAATAAATCATTTATTACTAAATATCGCTCGGCTAACCACATAATAAATCATTTATTACTAAATATCGCTCGATTGGGAAATGTGGCTCAGTTAACCACATAATAAATCATTTATTATTTAAATTACGCTCGGCTAATTACATAATAAATTTTTTATTACTAAATATCGCTCGGCTTATATTTATGTATTAAATTTCCAAACATTTTCCAGTGGGTTTTCACTTTCCTAATATTAATTGAGAATTAATTAGTTTATAAATAAGATAAAGGTTTGGACAGGTGTAAAAAATTATCTATTAGATATTTTAGCTTCAATACTTTTATAAAATTAAAATTGCTCATAACATTTTTTATTTATTAAAGTAAAAGAAATAATATTCTATCCGCTAGATGGCGTCTTTAAATTTTTAATTATAAAATTTAAAAATAATATTTTTGAATGTGTTTAATAAATTTCGCCATATTCTATTAAATATTTTTAATTTTTTTATTATAAAATATAAAAATAATATTTTTGAATGCGTTTAATAAATTTTACTTTATTGTATTAAGATATATAGGATAATCATAATTATCCAATATTTCTAGAATATCGAATATATTTCATCAATATATATCAGAGTTGTAAACCCCCCTTCTAAAAAATGGGTTCGGGTGAGAGTTCAGTGAAAAATCTCTGAATCCGGTTCAGGGTAGTATAGTTAATTAGTCGAGTTTTATTGACCCTGAACTCGAGCCGTAGTCGTAAAAAACGGCTCAGACTAGTGCGGCTCAATAAGCCGTTTGAGCCGATTCTATATTTAAAAATATTTTATATATTATCAAATTTATAAAGAATTATACAAACTATTATTTTATATATATGATCCCCAGAGTTGTTAAAATACACTTTTTAAATGAATCTAGATGCAAATACACCCATTTTTTAAGTTTTATATTAAATATAGGGGAAAATAAATCCTTGAAAAAAAACCGGAAAAAAATTCCCAAATAATTTTTGTTTAAATTTTCAAAAATAATTCTGCCGCTAAAATAACGGAAATGTTTCTAAAAAATTATATTCAGTATTTTCTGAAAGTTGAGTATTTATTCTCGACGTTTGAGGATTTTTTTTAGCATTATTTCTGTTTTAATTCTAAGCGATATAGGGCAATCTCAAAATATGAGAATTGATAAATCGGTTGGTAGCTTTGATACTTTATAATTTAGTAGATAACATAAAATGTATAGATTTGTGACATCTTGGAAAGAAAACATGATAGATTTTTATAGAAATAGATGAAAATTATGATTTCAACTTTTGAAAAAAAAGATGGAAACAAATAATATTTTTATTATTTAATTTCTTTTGGGGGAAAAAAGGAAAGGGAGGGAAATACAATTGAAAGTTATGCTATTATGAGAAAAAAAAATATGTAAAAAACGGAAGTTATTAATATTAAAAAAAATAAAACTCAAATTTTAAGATGCCAGCCAGGCGGCAAAAGGATTCAAAAAGTATTAATAGTTAAAAATTAAAATAACATAATATCAATCACAATTCACTTCAAAATAATCATTTATTACACATCATAAATTTTTTTTTCGAATTCATATTCACAATCACAATTCACTTCAAAATATAATCATTTATTTATTACATATCAATTTTTTTTCGAATTCATATTCACAATGGAGGATGCTATATTAAGGTTAATATTCATTTACTCTTCATATTTTCTTTACCTATGAAATGATTCACAAAATATAGTCAATTATTTTATTATGGTTTTTACTTTTTATTCAAATAAAGATACATAGGTTGTTACATGCTGTAACCCTATTAAAAAAGGGTTCGAGTTTATTTGCAAAAAATATCTGAACCAGGTTGGGATTCAGGTTCGGTGCCCAGAAAAAACTTAATTTAGTTAAAATAACAGATACAAATTTTTTATTAAAATTAATCTTATATTTAGTTTAAGAATTCACCGTAAAAATATTTATCATTTGGAGTTCTGGTGACCATCATTTAAAAAAACAATATGGAACTATATAATATCATTCTAGGGCCATAATTTAATAAAATTTGACAAATCGCTGTTTTTATTAGGAAATTAGATTGGTAGGGTAGTTTTTGAATTGTTTTAAAAAATATTAATATAAATATTAATTTTACCCAATGTTGTGTGCCGACTCTGAATATTCGCACAAGGGTTCAGACAGCACTCACATTTTCATACATCCAAATTGGAAATCAAAGATTTTGGCAATTTTATTTGATATCAAGAAATTTTATTTAGTCAATTTTAATAAAACCTTGATATGGTTACATTTTATAAAAATCTTATTTGATTTAGGGTTATCTTCGTTCTTTTTATTTACTCAAGATTCATCACTTGAAAAAAAATTAATTTTTTCTATTTTTGCAAATTAAAAAGAGATCCAGCTATGGCCTTAATAGAAAAAAATAAATTAAGAGAGCCACAACCAGTAACGTTAAAGAAAATATCAAAAGATTCTATAAGTGAAAAAATTATACAAATGGCGCAATCTCCAATCTTAGAAAATTATATTCCGCAGTAAATTGAATCTGATGGTAATTGCTTTTACCGGGCGGTTTCAATGTCGTTATATAAACCACAAACATTTCATATTTTTTTAAGACTGATAACGGCAATAGAAATAATTTTAAATCCTCAATATTATGATAAAAACCATCCTAATTTTTTCCAAAACTATAAAATTAATCCAAATATATGGGTGAATGAGTATTATGAGATACTCGATTCGGCTCTAAATATAAATGTTTGGGCTGAGCAAATTCATATATGCGCATTAAGTGCTGCTCTTGGCAAACCAATGCCCATCAAATTCATTAAGGGCTTTTACCGATATCCTTTATGGCAGGGGTGTAAGCCAGAGTTTAAAGCCTCATATTTTAATCATGTGGACATCTACCATATGTCCAAATGATATATTTAATATTAGAATCAATCACTTTGTATCTCTCATACCAAATAATTATATTAATACATTAACAAAAAAACCCCAACTGTCCAACAATATCAAAAGATTTATCATTTTCGATAGAAAATATTCTAAAAAACCATGTAGCGAAGATATCCGATTAAAATCTTTACCTTTTTTTTTAAACAATATTATAGCCGAAGGAGGTCATCCAAACTATGGGTTTTTTTTAAACATTGTAAAATCCATAAAAATTTTGCTTTCTCCCAATAATATATTGCACGAAATACCTTTAGGTATAAAATATAATATGTATTTTTTAATTTCTAATAATAATTTTACAAATTATAAGAATAAAAATTTATATATAGATGATTGTGGGCCATGCACAGGCTCAAAATCAAGCTCAAGAAAATTATATTATAATATATATAATGATATTGTTCAAGGTCCG